TACATCTTTAACAATTAAGTAAAGATTGCAGTAATTCTAATGCAAAATAAAACACAGAAACAATCCAAAAGTATGAACTAAAAACTATTAGAAATGTTTCATCAAATAAAGTATCACCATATATTCTTAAAAAATAAAGGCTCTTTAGGCATTAATGGTTCCATGAAGAACCTTTAACATTCATAGAACCTTTCCATTGCACACAACATTCTTTAAAATGTTCTTCACACTAAGAAAAAAAGGTTATTTTAAGAACTCTGAAAGTTCTTTAAAGAACCAAAAAAAAAGGTTCTTCTATGGCATCACTTTGGGAACCTTTATTTTTAAGAGTGTACACTACATAAGATAAAAACTACATAAATAGTTCTTAGTTTGCCCTAAAAGGCATATGTTTAAAATTCTATTTTCATTTGTGCTAGCATTCTATCAGTGATATATCTGGCAAAAGCTCCAGCATTTTAGAAATATCATCTGCATTCATACCCTGTTCCATTTCAGCCAATAGGAGGACAGATTATGTCATTTCCCTGAGCCTGGGTTCAGACCTGTTCAACAGGTTCAGACACAATGCCATTAAAATGCTCTACCTGAGCCCTCTTTGCTCTCGAAATGATGCACATTTTCAAAAGCTGCTCTATGGCTGCACAGTCACAGTGACAAGGCACATCGGCACACTCTCTGGTGCTTCTGCGATTGAGGTAAACAGCTGATGACTGGGTGAAAGAGTTCAACTTGCATTCACCCAGACAACAAGCGCTCAGATTATCCAAGCTTTATGGTCATTTAAACATGCACAAGTACCCATAAAGCTGGGTAAATGTCACAAATGAGATTATATAAGATATAATTCTGACTGAATGAGCTAGAGTGGAAGGAGATAAAGAGTAAATATACAAGCTGGAGCTTGTCTACCATAAATCATTTCTATTCATGTAGAAAAATGAAGCCTTCGAATACTGAGTTTTAGGTATTTAAAATAAGCTAAACATGTTATTAGATGTATAAATGATATCGAAATACATAATTTTAAGACCAGAAAAAAACACGATTGTCATCCTGACTAGACAAAGGCTATGAGATACACAAGGACTTGCAGTTAACAAAGTTTGAACTTCTATTTAAAGGTCCTGCAGAACACATTGTTATTGGTTTTTTCAATAACAGATAAAAACAGATGATTACTTATCCATTTTAAGAAGGTATAGGGATAGTTTTCTCAAAAATGAAAACCGTCATCATTTACTCACCCTCATGTGGTTCCAAACCTGTATGACTTTATATTTTTAGTAATGATTACGTTTTTTTTTTAATGCAAGTCAATGTTTTAGACCCCATTAACTTTAATTGCATAGAAAAAAATATAATAAACTTTCGGTGCATAAACATTCTAGATATCTTTTTTTGTATATAAAAAACGTGATACAAATTTTGATTGACATGAGCTTATATAAACAATCAAATAATTCTGAATTGCCGAAACAGACAAATATTAAATGCAAAGACAACTTCAGATCAATACATTACAAATTGTTACACAACAGTGTCACAATCGCCATTTTGTGACTTCAAGCTTTGTGCATAAGAGACGGCATCACTAAGAGTGTGAAACTGTATTTCTTTGGTCCCTTTCTTTGGGTCATAATACCCTCCCCTCAGCAAAGAATCAATGACGGAGGGGTTGCATTGCGCTAAAAGCATATCGACTCCCAGCCCCTTGTAGTTCTTGCGTACCTCTTTCAAAGCATTGACCCCAGCAGTGTCCAGAAACAGCACTGGACTGCAGTCTATGACCAATGTGTGCAAACTGTTGTGCTGTAGCAGATACATATTGGTGGACACGTCCATCTCTTGCTTTTGGTCTTCTCCACCTTGTTTCTTATTCCTCTGCTTGTCTAGTTTCCTGCGCCTGGTCTTCTCTTTAAGCGGATCCAGACCCACATTACGGTACAGTGACTTCTTAAAGAGAGCTTGGTTGGCATAGTAGATGGGAGCCTCGTATCGGAAAACAGCCACCTCTGGCTGGCTCTGGAGACCCTTGTAGGACGCAAGGTCCTCAAAGAGCTCGCGGTCCCCTGCTTGGCCTAGCTGACGGACTTGGGCGGACTGAGTTCGGCCTAGCGCACAGAACGCAGAGACCAGGACTCCAACTAGTAGACCTAGCTCAGTGTTCACTAGCGCTGATGTAGCCATAGTAATCAGCCAGATGATAGTGTCCACATGGTTGACGCGCCACATTTGGGGAATGTCCCCAAACTTTCGCAGTGCTCCACGGAGGTTGACGACTATGATGACGGCCAGAACACATCTGCGGAGAAGAAGAGGACACAGTTACACTGCCATTGGCAGTGTAGGTGAAGTCTAGATAATTTCAACAAGAAAACGGCATAATTTGTACGTACTCCTGCAATGAGTAGAAGGCAGGTGCTATAACAAGCAGGACGAGCAGCAGCACAAGAGCGGTCACCAACCCTGAGAGCTGAGTCTGGCATCCCGTCGACTCCTTCACAAGAGTGTTGGTCAAAGCGGCACTGGTCGTGAAACAGCGGAAGAAGGAAGGAATGATATTACAGAAACCAATAGCATACATCTCCTGGTTAGGGTCCACCATATAACCATGCTTCTTGGCAAACATCTCAGACAGAGACACAGTAATGGCGAAACCAACAATGGCGATTGAGAACGCGTCAATGGCAATATTGGGTATGAGAGACCAGTTGGGAAGTTGTGGTGGCATGAAGCCTGTGGGAATGTTGCCAGCTACATCTGAGCCATAAGTTTCCTCGAACCGTCCAAAGTGGGAAGCTAGAGTAGTAGCGATGACCACAAAGAGTTCAAAGGGAATAGGGGCCTTGAGCTTGGCCTTGAAGCGGTCGTTGAGCTCTTTGGTGGGTACAAGCACAAGCAAGCAGAGCACGCTGGTTACGAGGTCACAGAGGTTGGTATGACCCAGATTCTTGAAAAGACTGATCCAGGTTTTTAAGAGCAAACCCCAGCCTTGGACACGAGGAAGGTGGAGGCCCAGAAAGTACTTTATCTGGGATGTGAGGATGGTGAGAGAGGCACCAGTTGCGAAACCGCTCAACAGAGAGTCTGAGAGGTAGACGGAGACAAAGCCAACCTGTAGGAGACCCATCAACACCTGAAACACAAGCAGAGCAATTAATATATTTAGATATTTTTAAAATTCTGATAGAAGACGACTAACCTTGACTAACCTGGTAGACCCCTGCTGTGAAAGTTAGTGTTGCTGCCACCATGACTGCATAGCAGCTTCGGTCACAGACTGGACCAGTGCTGTTGTCCACATTTCCCAATGTGGTCTGATTGGTGTCCGATGGATATCCTGCCAGAGTAAGTTCCCTCTCCACAACCTGTCCCACCAGAAGACACAATACCCCAAACATCCCCACAGAGATGTGCCTGGAAGTTCCCAGTAGGGTGTAGATGATGCTGGCAAAGAAAGATGTATAGAGCCCATAAATAGGGTCTTGTTCTGCCAGTAAAGAATAAGCAATGGACTGGGGAACCAAGAGGATGCCCACGATAAGGCCAGACATGGCATCCCCAATGATCCAGTCTTTGAATTGATATCTTGGCAGCCATTTCACGATTGGAATGGAGTCTACGAAAAGAGCAGAGCAGAACTGCAGGAACACTTTTTTCCCACCTTCTTTCTCAACACATCCTTCCAGGACACTTTCTCTTTTACACGCTCTTCTAAAAGGAAAGGAACATCAGGCCCCTTCTTAGCATCATCCTTTGCTGAAACACTGTCACAGACTTCTTCAGTTGGCATAATGTCCAGAAACTCTCACTGAAACAGGACAAAAAAGCACATTGATTAACTGGGTTTTAAAAAGCAATTTGGTTTACATAGATAAAATAAGAGAAAAGGGTGTATCTTAAGTGTGATTATTATTGACTTAAAAATAATTTTGTGTCATCAATTACTCATTCTCATGTCATTCCAACCCTTCTTATCTTTCTTGAAACACAAAATTACTTATCAGGCTTCTGTTTCACACACAAGGAATGTGTGATTTAAGCCATACAAATATCATAAAGGTAGTTCATTAAACTCATGCGCCATATTGGCGTGAGGTAGTCATATGGACTTTTCTGATAGTCTTAAAATGTGTTGTTGTGGTTGTACAGTATATTAGGCACAACAATATTTATATAAAGGGGGGGAAAAAATCAAGAAATTACTCTATCAATGTAGAATAACTTTATTATACAACCACTATACACAATTTACTAAGACCTTGACTCTCTAATTTATAAAATCCAACTTCTTCATCAGAGAAAACAGATGGCAAATATTATCACTCATTATGACTGTAGGAATAAAAATGTAAGAAGCATCTGGCACAGTCTTGCTGCTTTGCCAACTATGGAATTCAAAGTTATTTGAGTTATCTGCTGCATGATTTGTTCAAGTTACAGAAAAATGCACTTAGAAGTAACACATGAGGACCATAAAGTATTAATGATTAAATAAAGCAGTAAAAAATTTACTTTAGGTTAATTATCAACTACTTAGCAGTACATAAATTACAGAGTACATAAACTTATTTATTAATTGCTCTTCATTACATTATAATATTTCTCAGCTGCTTGACACCAAATACATTTCCTATGAAGTACAGCTTGCATTCTTCATTTTTTGCAATCCATACATAAATGTGTTAAAATGTCATAACACTGATACACTCTCAGAAAAAAGGTATACAAAAGCCTGGGACGGTACCTTTTCTAAAGATACACCTTTGTACAGGGTGCATACTGATACCTTAAAAGGTACATATTAGTACCTTAAGTGTACAAAAGGGAAAAGGTATTGCAAAATGTGCCAAAGTGATTCCAACTAATACAAATCAGTCTGATCATTCAGTACTTCCTCATTCAAGTCAGAAGCAGTAATTGCTGTGGAGCTGCTGAAGATGTTCTCAGAGAACGCCTGATGATGTCCTAAACGGTGAGTACAACCACTAGTCTGCATGGAAATGATGTTGCTTGCCTCCCTCCAGGACTATAATCAACCTTCCCCAGCTGTTCGAATTTACATCTCATCCCACAGAGACACACATCTCTACATCGAGAGGCTAGCCGAGGTAACCAAGAGCCTTGCCAGGCAAACATCTTTGAGTCAGTTTTCGTTTCTTTCCTGATAACGTGGCCTGATTAACTGGGTGAGATTCTACAACAACAAGAGATTCTGGCATTGGTCACACACAGAAACTGAATGCAACCTGTGGGAGCTGCAATGACAGGCACCTCGAGGCACTTCACAAGCTCAGTGAGAATCCAGTCAGTGGAAACTTGTCTTGTCAGCACAGCTGACAGGGTTTTGTACTTAGCTTAAAAAGCAGGATGAAAACAAGTACTGTTAAAGGTCACTAAAGTGATTCTGAATAATGGAGAGCATGCCTCTCTCAGAACTAACACATTTTCTTAAATTCTCAGTTTCTCCAGCTTGTTAGCCTCAAAGTGTCTTCAAGACTCAAGAAGCACTCACTGCAGAAAAGACTGACAGAACAGACGTACCTGATCCAAACCCCTCACACACACAGGCCTCAAAAGACTGCCTCTTCTAGCCCAAGTCATCATTACCATGCCTGGTCACCTTTACTTAATACCTTCAGTGTGCACCTGATGGAGCATCTGCAGCAGCCAACATGCGATTCAGATTCAATGGTGCATAAATATTTTGTAGCAACCCTGCTATGGTTTTTCTGCACTAAAACCAGAATCAGTTTTCCAACAGTGAAGATGGGCATCGCCAACTATTTTACAGTTTATTTAACAGCTTAAGTGAGGGAAAGGGCTACAATCCCATTAAACAAACAAATATTAAACTACTGATTTAAAGTTGTTGATTATATCTTAGTTAGTCAGTTAGATTAGTCAGGAGAAGAAGGCTGTCCCGCATCACCTTTACATTACGAACCCGTAAATAAATAAATAAATAAATAAATCACAACATTTACAAACCAAATGGTGTGGATTAGTGATGCTGACGTGTACACTTTATACACGCTCGATCTCCTTTGCAATTATGCCTTGAACTTCCGATGACGTAACTGAATGATCAAAGCTAAGTTTTTACACTAAACTAAAAAGACATGTTACAGAAATCAGAAGTGCAGACATAGGCGTAATTTGCGGGTGGTACGGGTGGGACATGTCCCACCACTTTTTGCCAGGGTCGATATTGTCCCTACCACTTTTTGAAAGTAACTGAAAAACATATTGCGGAAGGTATGTATTAAAGGGAAAACAAGATCAACAAATCATTCTGGTAACACTTTACTTGAAGGGGTGTGCATAAGACTGACATGACACCTTCATAATCATGACATGACACATGTTTATGACAACTGTCATTAAGTGTCATTCGCTCAGTTATGTCATTTTTAATGCAAATATGACATTATTTGACCTAACTCTAACCTAACCCTACCCCTACCCTTACCCTTAACCATAGCCCATAACAAAGACATCTCAAACAATGTCATCTTTGCATTAAAAATTACATAACTGAGCAAATGACACTTAATGACAGTTGTCATAAACATGTGTCATGTCATGATTATGAAGGTGTCATGTCAGTCTTATGCACACCCCTTCAAGTAAAGTGTAACCATCATTCTTCATAATCTAATTAGGGTGATAAAAAACAACAACAACAACATTTGACACCTTATGCATGCATAACTCGTAATAACGAAGTGATTTGCAGCTGTCGCTTTTTTTCGTAATGTCATTAGGCTATAGCATTTTATTTTAAAAATGGAGAGCTTCCTTGTGCTAAGTAGGCCTGCCCTCTATTAAAGATTTTTCCAGACAACTAGTCGCACGTTATATTAAATTGATTAATACAATAATACATTAACCATAGGCTACTTCAATATAGGCTAGGCAGATGTATTAGGCTAGAGCCTATTCCGCACTCAAGCTCGCGCATAAAGCAATTGCCTCAAAGCACCGGCAAAGTGATTATGAACGTATCGAGGGAAAAGAAGACATTTTAATTATTTATTAATAAACTAGTGCTTTCTGAGTCAGTGTGGTGCAAAGATGCAATGATCTAGCATTTTTTACATTTTCCTAGACAGATTTTTTTTTGAGCATGTAAAATTGTGTAGGTTAAATAGCTTAACTTTAACCCTGGGTCAAAAAAAGTTCTCTACTGCTATGAGGACACAGGTCTTAATCCATATGGCCTTCAAATTCTACACAGGCTTGAGGAAAGTCAGCCACACTCCCCTGAGAAGAAACAAAGAGCACAGTGTGTGTATGAAAGAACACAGGGAGGGATTTGATACAGGGCATTTTTGTATAATCTGCCAATAATGCAAACACTTTTTCATTGGCATATCATTCTCCTATATTTTTTCATTCATACATATTTTACATTTTACATATGATTCTGTCCATTTTTTTCATTTATGAATGTTCCTGTTACATTAATTGTAAACGAATAATACTATTTATTTGTTTGTTTGTTTGTTTATTTATAATCTTTCCTTAAACTTTCACTTCTATAATCATGCAAACCTGAAGAGTTTCTTCTGCTGAACATAAGGATGTTATTTTGAAGAATGTGGGTAACTAAACAGTTGCGTGTCCCCATTCACTTCCATAGTATTCAAAAAAAAAAAATTCAATGGGGACTAGCAATTGGTTAAACCAGAAACTCAAACAGGTTTGGAACCAATTGAGGTTGAGTAAATAAAGACACAATATTAATTTTGTGGTGAACACAATCCCTAGCCAGTTTTGAATTTTGAAAGTTCTAAAAAATAAAATAAAAAAGATTGGGGATAAAAATCGAAACCAATTACTAACTGCTTATTAATGATGCTCTCTATACATTTTTGGTTGATTTTTCTTTTTATCCTCAATAAATGTGTGCTGTCTTAATGAGTCATTGATATTTTAATTTGTTCCAAATGAAAGATTAATTCAGGAGCAAAGCAAGCTCAGAGATGCCAATGCTGCAGCTGTGGATATGTTTATAAACCTTTTATTGGTGAAAATAGCACAAAACAGACAAGACTGTGTGAAAAAGGTAAGTCACTTAATATTAACTTAGTAACTTTATTGAATTCTATAAAATCATTATCAAATTTGCAGTCATGTTGATATTCGGGAAAATGAATATCATGACCTATGATCTTATCTGAATAGATTTCTTGTAGGTATGTCATCAAGCAAATAAAAAATGGGCCGTTAACTGCTGTTATTGCTCACTATTAGATAAGTGTTAGTGTTTTCAACAGATGATACCAAAAGTTCATAAATAACAATCTAAGTTCAAATAATCAGCTCATATATAGGAAACAAGCAAAGTCATACAATGTGATTCAGTGTCAGATGGTGAAAAGTCTCATCTCATGCACCATATGCTGTTTACAGGGTTACAGGGTTGTAGCATATGAAACAGCATTTACTAAACACTGTCAACGATACATTGTATGTAATAATTATGCTTATAAAAGTACTACTTATTAAAAGTAAAGCCAAGTCACATCAAAGTCTCATAACTGTGCACCTCTAATTTAACAAAGCTAGGAACCAACTTTTTTTTTAAAGTCATTTCCATGCAATGTTGATTGAGATACGGCATCTTCTGGCACTTTATCCACTGGTGTTGCTGATGGAGAACATTGCTCTGACTTTATGAAAGGCACTATTGAAAACACGACCGCAAAACTGCAACGTGTACAGCTGAGTCATCCGCTGAAGGATAAAGCTTCATTTAAAACCTGCATTTTCATAGTCTTAAAAAATCTGATTTCTCTCAACATGGGGAAAGGAGAGCTGTCAGTTAATACATTGGAGAAAAAAATTGTAAATTAAAAAGTAATGCGTTACTTTACTAGTTACTTGAAAAAAAGTAATCGGATTACGTAACTCACGTTACTTGTAATGTGTTACCCCCAAAACTGCATATAGATAATAACAGGTGAAAAATAGCCCAAACAGTCAAATCACAGACAGTCAAGCTGAAATCTAAAATCAGTTAAAATACCCAATCTTCTTGAAAGCAAAGCTCTAACTTAACTCTTTGAAATGAAGTTTGTGTGTACATTATGCGGTTATCACACAATCTAGTCTGTTTTTATTCCCCAAAACTGTTCCAAACAAACTTTCCTGCGGTAAGTTCATACCTGAGCCCATTATAGAGCCACTGTACAATGCACATGTAAACTTTTTAGACATTTGCAATTCAAATCTGATTATATTATGTTATATAAGAGAATTCCTAATGAGTGCTGTCTGCTGTGGCTTCAGGACAGTTTATCTTGCGGAATATTGTGTTACACACTAATACTGCTAGGACTAGGTTATGAAACTAGGTGGTGCTACTGGGTAAGCATGGAAGTACCTATGCAACACTTTTGAGTAGAGATACAATATGTATGGAGGCCCATTTTCACCACATAAGAAAAAAAATGCTTGATAAATCATAATTATAAAATGAAACCATCATAATTAAGAGATACATTGAAATTATGAGATACTAAGTCAAAATTCTAAGATGAAAAGTCAAAATTCTGAAAAACAACATGACATAAAAAGTCAAAACTATAAGATGAAAACTCACAATTATAAATCATGTCATAATTTAGTTTTCTGTCTAAAAAAACTCTCTAAGCTTTTTTTTATCTCATAATTATGATTTAATAATATACCCTACTTTTGACTTTAATTTCATAATTACGATTTACCAAAGCAAATCTTTATTAGCTTCCATAATGATGGGATTTTAAATATTGTATAAAAAGGTTGTATACTCTTAAAAATAAAGGTGCTTCAAAAGGTTCTTCAAGCGATGCCATAGAAGAACCATTTTTGGCTCCACAAAGAGGCATTCAGTCAAAGGTTCTTTAAAGAACCATCTCTTTCTTACCTTTTTATAATCTGAAGAACCTTCTTTCGCCCCAAAGAAGCTTTTGTGAAACAGAAAGGTTCTTCAGGTGTTAAAGGTTCTTTATGGAACCATTTAGACAAAAAGGTTCTTCTATGGCATCATGAAGCACCTTTATTTTTAAGAGTGTAGTGGGTTGCAGCAAGATCTAGAATAGGAACAGAGTCATCAGTAAAGGAACTAACAAGAATTGTGAGTGGAGGGAACAGGTTCTGTATTCTTGTATTTTATTAATTTTTTTACTATATTTTATTTTATTTGTGCTAACTCTTTTGTTATGTTAGAAATGTCAGAAAATGTCAGCAGACAAAAAAAAATGCATACTGTGAAGCATGACTATGATACATGTGTAGAAGGTGCTGGGTTGTAAAAAGTGTTGTAACTGCGTTGAAGCAAATAGTATTGAAATCAGAAAGAGTGTAGTGTAAGTACAACAAGAATGAGCTAAATATAATGTGTCTTATACAGAAGTGGTGAAAGCTGTTGAAATGAGGACCACATGAAAGAGAATAGAGACTAAAAATGAAAACATACTGTACAAAATTATGCAAACGTGAATGCTTGACCAATGCACTGCTAGTGGGTGGTACTGTTAACTTGCATTCTTGTCTTGCTGTGGTAGTAACAAACCAAAATATCTCCCATGACATGTTGTAGCAAGAAGCTGTTATACATGAAATTGAGCTTGTTTCACCAGAAGCTTTTGTGTTTACATAGCAGGGGCCCTCAGTCTATGGGCCAAGGACCTCTCGGTGGACAGAGACTGAGCTGCTGTTACATATGAAACTGAGTGCTTGGCCTACCTCTATTTTAATTTGATTTCATATGTTTTTAAGAAATATTAACTTTGGATGAAGCTTCGAAAATGTCAAATATAAAGCAAGTTAACTTAATATTTTTATTTTTCCTTTTATTATGTATAACACATATTGTAAAGCAGTGAATTCAGGTTAAAATGGAGAGGTAAGATGATGAGGGAAGAAATGGAGGATAATAGAAGACACTTCGGTTGTGAATAATAAACAGAAAAGTTCAAGATTATAGTAAAATAGCTGAGCGATTCCTATGTAAAAGAGCTGGGGTTACTGATGCAATGTTATAGTTCAGATATTGGAAGAGGAGAAAATCTATGTAATAATTCATTGCTAAAACCCTTGTCTAAAATTATTTTAAGTGATCTAGAGCTTTAATGTACATTGTACTGTATCGGGGGAAGTGACAATGGATGTAACAATGATAGATTTAAGATTAGCTGATGTGGATGTAACTTTTTATGTTGTTCTTTGGAATGGATAACTAAATGGAAAACTATAAAGAATTGTCCTTTGAATAATAATAATATTCTATATTTTGTATATATTATAAACTTAAGTTAAAGGGGTCATATGACGCGATTTCAAGTTTTCCTTTCTCTTTGGAGTGTTACAAGCTGATTGTGCATAGATAAGATCCCTGAAGTTGCAAAGACTAAAGTCTCAAAACCAAAGAGATATTCTTTATCAAAGTTAAGACTCTGCCACGCCCCCCTAAAACGTCTCGTTCTAACACGCCCCCACATATCTACCTCACTATGTGGAAATATTTGCATAATGCTGCCCAAATGTGCACGCAAAGAAAGAAGGCATGGTTTCAGTAACCGCAGTTAGGGGTCACATCACAGTGGAGTCAGCTGTCTTAACCGTGGCTTGTGTACTGCAAACACATACCAGCTTCATCACTGTGTCTGTCACGCGACTCTGTTCCCCTTTCGGGCTCTGTCTTTACATTTCTATTGGGACAAGAAGGTTGACAAAAGACCTCATTGAGGTGACAGTAGAGGGCACTATTGAGACGGTTTTCAAGAAAAGAGATCCAGAAAAATGGGAATGAGTGCTATATAGATTTAAAGGTGGGGTAAGTGATTTCTGGTAGCCAATGTTGAC